TTGTTGAAATGAAAGATTTAAAACTAAAATGTTTTTTAGAAAACTACCTAGAATGCTCTTTACAAAATTTAAAGATATTAAAACGCCAAAATACCACTTTCCACCTCCCAGTCTTTTCTGGCCCATTCTGTGTAATAATTTTTTTCTTCTTTCTAGCCCTATTAAACACCCCACACTCCATATATTCCAGAAAAACCAAAAACTTTGAAAAAGATAACATGTTAGAACTCCAGATAAATTGCCACTTCAGATTAAACTTGGTTTTCCCTATTCAGCGAAGTCCATTCCCCTTAAAAAATGGTTCTTACATGTCTGATTCAGGAGAGCACACTTGACATCTAGGCCCGTTATTTTCGTGGAGGATTTCCGGACCTGCTGTTCCCCGTTCCATGGGCGCCAAAAACACTGACAATTATGTGGGCAACCCTGCGGGATTGCCCTCCGGGCCCGACCAAGTGTCCGCGCCTTTCGTCTAGCCCGTAGTCCTTAAAAATCACACCCCCCTTCCCCCCCAATCCCCCCTTCCCCAGTCTATCCGCGACTAGACGAAATGTTGCCAAATATTATAAGGATCTTTCCACGCGGTTCTCCACTTAACCCCAATCCGACACAGCATCCTTTCCCTATTTATCGGTCTCGCTTCTTTATTCCCCCCCCTATTCCCTTTTTATTTTTTGTTTTCCCTCGTGCAGTCTGCCTTTCGTCCAATGTTTTCGCCTATTGCCCCTTTGTTTACTTTTCCTTCTTCTGCCCTACTTCCCCAAATTGGTTCTACTTTGAGCCCCCGGTTTCCCGTTCCACTAAAGCCTATTTTATAAAAAATTGCATTTTTTTAGATTGACGCCGTTTTCTCACACACAACACCCCTCCATAACATAACATTTACAACCCCATTCGATATTCTAGCCCCCTACACCAACCTCATTCAGAGCTATGCTTGTACGTTATCCGAATCTTTCACCCCCCACAATGTGCCTGCGGCCTAATGAGTCGCTATCGACTCCGTCACATCCGCTTTTCTTCTTTTTCTTTTTTTCCTTCTTTCGTCCCGGCTTCCCTTTTAGAATGTTTTTCTCCTTCGAGATGACAATGGCCTTTGCTGAGACCTATGTCACCGCCAGCCGTTTTTAGCCCACGCCAGGCGAACGAAAGACAACCACCATCGGCTTTCTTAATACGATCACCTAGTTTGTTAAAAATCTTAAAAGAACGATTAATAAAGTCAGCTATTTCACCCAATGACAATTATGAAAAAAAAAAAAAATTACGCATCCGAGAATGTTGCAAATTCACTCATACTGTTTTTGATTCGCGTGAAGCTGGAAATTGAACATAGTTTCCGAAGACTAAATTCCCCAAATTCTTTTTTACACAACCTCGAAAAACTCCCTTGGGGAGTCTAAGTATGATCCTCCTTTTTAAAAACAACTGGCCCCAGAAATTTTATTTTATTTGACAGATACCACATACTTTCAACTTACTTTTTAATTAAAGACCCCAACTGGGTGTTGAATATGCTTTAGAGTAAAATATTTGATTATTATTTTGATTAACGTTGCTTCTTTTATGCGTGTCACAATCGTTGGATTAAGTCAGTATGACCCCCCCCTCTGATGGCGCACCAGTTACCTCTTTCTTTTTGCGTTTTGAATACTGGGTTTATATCATCTTATAACGTCCCTTTGACAAAATATTTTGCGTTTGTCTTTCTGCCGAGTTCTCCGGCATAGTTTCTTGCCATCTTTAAAATCCCATTCTGTTCTTATACCAGTCACTCTCTCTTCTAATAATCATCGTTACCTTAGTATCGTATCAACAAGAGCGTCTAGCAGCACCATGTAATACCAGAACCCTCCTCTGCCTCCCTTCCTCACAACCGTAGCCGATAGCAATTAATCGAAACGTGTTCCCATAGTGTACGGATATCGCTGACGAATACATAAATTATACCTATAGCGTCTCACATAACAATTTACAAGTACCAGTATACGCCTACACTAGACTTCCAGATTGAATGAAGGAAATTCGTCAGACATAAATATTACGTCCCTTACCCCCCATGCGTCACTCGGCCATAACAAAAAACGGACAGACCTTCCCACGTCACCTTGCCACACCTCCAATTCTATTTCACCTCACGGTCGTTACAGGAAAGAGATATCTATTATATTTAAGATATATAGGAGAGATTTGAACGTTTTTCAGGTAGTATACTACGGAAAATATCATTTGCTCACGTAAATTTAATCAATATTCGAAACAAAAACACAAACACTCTAAGTAGCGAAAGAATAATCACCATTAGAAAGGAAGAAACTAATTTAAAAAATGGCATTAAAGAACAATAAAAGACGATAAATATCAACGTTTTTAAATTTACATAAAATAACCGGTTAGAACTGCCCGTTTCTTATCACAAATATTTATATAATGACGTTTGTGTACAATTAAATACTTAAGAATAAAATCATCTACCAAATATTATGGCATCGTATGTACAATTAAATATTTTAGAATAAAATCATCTACCAAATATTATAGCACTATCGTGTGTCACTGTTGAGATCATATGCATTCTCCCTTTCTTGTATATTCTGTAGACAGATTTGCTTTACGCTGATTGTTTGGAACAGTCATTTTTCCATCATTCACCAACAAATATTTTTTTTTTTAGTCACAGCCGGTAACTCCGCCTGTAGTTAATTCGGAATTAGCTGTATTCTAAATCGTTTGTCACTGAAATCATTTGCTATTTACTATATTACCCTCAGCATGATTATAATGACACTTTAATATTATAATCAACACCACAAAATGAAATTGCTGTAAATTCATGTTATTGTCAACAAAACATCCATTGAATTGTAATAATAAATTCTTCAGTTTATCCAAAGAATTCCACAGGCGATCGCCCCCTGCACAAACACTCTATAAAAACTTTTGCAGAAGATTACAAAATATTGTATTTTACTACACAAATTTTCACTTTCGTAAGTTAACCTAGCATTTTGCGAAACAATAATACGATTGGGAAAATTAAAAATATATTTAAATCAAGAAGAAAATTCCTATTTTTGTAAAACAGTTAAATTACTAAAAGAATTAAGACAACTGTATAAATAATGAAAAACATATCATTCTTTCTAAACGGATTAGATTTAGGTTAATTTAGGTATACAACATTTCAGTCGACTGTTACGTATAATAAATGTATTTGACCATTCGTCTGACTTTTGCTCTTCGCGTTGCTTAACGTTAACATAATGCATGCAACACAGTGATAACATTTAGCTATTTGAATGAAATGAAATGAATATCTTCTAATATTAATCAGACCACATGATTTATGACTGATATACGTATCGTTAGCTAGCATTTATTTGAAAGTATATTCCAAGTTTGTGACATATATACAAGTTCTAATTCTACTCAGTATGATTTTCCGAATAAAATTTTTCGTAAGATTAATCAAAACTGAAAAATAAAAGAAAGAATGAATAATTAAGATAAAATATAACTAAAATTACGAGTAACTTATTATGATTATTACATGAAAATGTTATGCTAGAAAGATTTATTGGTTTTTGTAATACCAAACAACACATAATGACCGTAACATAATAACCATAACAACACATAATGACCATAACAATTTCGTAAGCTGTGGCGCTACAAAAAGCGCAGAAATAATGTTCAAGTACTTTTTTGTCAGTTTCTGAGATATCATAATATATTACTACTACTACTTCTCTGTAATATTCATGAATTTCACGTGAAAAGTTTACTAAAATTTTAAGTAAATATTTTATAATAAAATATTTAATTAATTAATAAATGAAATGTTTAATAGTAATCCTCTCTACTGAACACTCCTAATATCGATTTATCACTTTTGCTTTGTTTATATGATTAGAATTCTTTGACTCAACCGTCTGAAATTTAAAAAAAAACTGCATATTTTGAAGACTATCTTGATTTCAAGACCTGTATGAAGGATAATACTCAAGCATATAACTTTAATATTTAATGTTCGTTGAATTTTTATTTGAAATCGTTAATAATCTTTACATACTGAAATAATATTTGCACCTAAAAATAAAAATCTATAACCATTCCTTTTTCGCATCCTCATCAGAGCAGAGAAATGTCTTGATTCTATTTATATTAACAAGATGAGAAAAAATCTCAAATTTGTGGTATTTTACTCGTAAGTGGGTAAGAGAGGATTTTATACATTGTATAATTTGCACAATTTTTAACCAGGTATTGTAAAGGCACTGTTTTGTTATCAGGACCAGATTTAGAAATGTATGAATGTATGCGTATATGTATACACACACATACATTCGTGCTTATAATATATACATGCATACATGAACACATCCATCCATCCATACATACATGCATACATACATACATTTTTGGATCCAGTCCTGATGACAGAACAGTACCATTGTAATATTTATAAAGCAAAGAAAAACTCGCTAAGATATCTGATCAAAACCTAATGTAAAGAATCAGAATTCTGGATTCGCTCTTACGGCAACATAGAGAAAGTGAATTGAAAACAATTAGCCCTTTTTGCAATTTATAAAAAAGACAGTATGACAGTAGTCAAATGTACTACTGTCACAAATCATTCCTTACAAAGTCAAGGGCATCAATCATTACCGTAATCAACAAGATATTATTGACAGCGCAAGCTGCAACAAATATTCAAGCTTGCGTTGTCAACAGCTGTTATTTCTCAGCCATTATCATTGTATCGCATAATCGGTAAGTAAGAACACTCTTCCAGATTTTATCAATATTGTTTTCAAATCAAACCCTAGTATATCTTGTTTAAATTAATTTGAAAGAAATATGATTTCGGTTGAACGAACCTCTGAAAAGATAGCGTAGTTTCCTCAACAGCGAATTTAATGTAATTGGATTGTCATGGTGTAATATTTAGCAAAAACTATATCTTACGTTTCGATTCTCAAGAAAGTTATTCGTACCTTCGCATAGATTGAAGACATTCATTCAGTGAGTAGAATTGTTCCACACAATGTCTCTTCCCATGCTTTCAAAAGTTCGTATCTGGCTGAAAATTCCAAACAACGCCAACTTTGGCGACAGCATATGACAGCATACAAAAGTCATTATTAAAACAAAATTTTCCGAAATCAAGATCACAGTTAAAGATACTGATATCTAGTAGACATGGAAATATAGAATCTTTCGCATCGAACTTACACTACTCCCGCGCTTCGACGTGTTTCGTCTGCTGCGAAGATATTTTCGGGGATCTAGCCTCTCGGTTTAATTCCTTGGTATACATCACGTGATACTGGATGGAACAGCGCCATCTAACGGCATAAGAAAGCGCGGAGGAACATGGAATATCCAATCGGAATCTTCCGAACGATTGGCTCGGTTTATATGCGATTTCGGAAGGATGGATTTTCTAGATCGTTTGGTCGACGAGTTTCTCCTTGTTTAGTTTTACGTCTGGGGGATTTCAATTGTTTTATTCTCTTTTTTTAAACAGAATAATTGTGCATTTATGATTATTTAATATCCCTTTCATTCACACGTACATTATCAAAGAGATAAAGTATATTAGAATGTAAAAATAGGTAGACTTGAAATATGCGAAATTTCTGCTACCTAAGCACAGCCGGATATTTGAAGAATCCGGATAATTGGATTGTCGTCTTCATGTCGTTTAAACGTGTATTAATTGTAAATGAAATAAGGAAATTTATCTGTTCCTTTTTGCTTTTCATGAAAAAAAAAAAAAAAAAAAAGGGGGGGGTGGTTACAGAGTTTGTAAAGTTCTTTCTCTCTCCTTTCTGCGTGACTTCTTGGTTTAATTGGAAAGCACATGCAGCTATCAGTCGGGAGATTCGAATTCCAGCGAGAACATTGCTAATTATTAATGTTTTCCCGCTTTGAAAATTCTAAAATCGTTCAACAATTTAAAAACTAAATCATTATATTTTGTCTCAAGGTAAAACACACTTTATCTGACAAAATTAAGCAGTGAATCATTTTAAGTGCCTAAAAATAAGGACAACTTCTAATTCAAATAAAATAAAAGAATTAAATTATTGTTTTATTATGCCTTAAACGAGCTCATCTTCTTTTCCTTTATGTCCAACTAAAATTGAACAAAGGAATCTTTTACTTATATAATGCAAAAGAAAACCTATTTTTATTTAACTAAATTAAATTAAGATATTAGTTTTTATTGCTGTAAAGTAATTAAACCAAACATTTTATGTACATATTGTTAAAAGTTTGCATTTAAAATTTTATTCACAATGATAATTCTTCTTCAATTTCTTCTTAATCTTGATTTCAAAGAAAAAAATCTCATAAAACATCTGTTGAATTGCAAATTATTATTAGCTGATCTACATGTAGTGCGAATTGATCTGAATGAATGCAGTAGTTTCTGAAGAAATATTTACCCTTTTCATATTGTTTAAATAAGTGCAAAAGTTGTAATCACATAAATAGGTTAACAGGCTTGAAATTATTTGGCCAAATAAAAAGGGATTAATTGGAATACCCCCAATAATAGGTAATTAAGATAGCTGTAGTTATATCCTTCTTGAAATAGATGTTATTAATAATTTATTTTATGTTCTGATTTGATTAAGAAGTAAATTTCTTTAATACCATACAACGATCCGATGATAAGAAATTTCTTAACACAAATTACACAGTGATGTAATATATACAGAGTGAGTCAGAAATATTCCTACGTGATTAGTGTATAGAATCTAAAACTTAATTTTTTTTTAAATTTTAAATGAAAGTTACATCCCCTAACTTATATCAGTATCATTATCCAATGTAGCACTGGACATAATGGTTTGATTTAGTTTATGCGATTATTGCAAAGCCTCGCGGGCTATCTGCCTAAGTGGAGAGATGCCTTTGTTGAGGGCATTCTAAGGGAAACTGGCTCGTATACACTTTACACATGGGGAAAACCACAGAAAAGCCCATGCAGCCGGACATTTTTCGGGATTGGAACATCGGACCTAACTACCAGTTAGTTCTCAAGTAGTCTCAGGTGTAACTGAAATTGCAAAATTCGCGTTCTTTTTTAATAAATGTTGTGAATTATAAATGTGTCGTGAAATATTAAATGTCAATGAAATAATGTTTCCAAAGGCATAAAGTTTAACAGAATTAAGGCAGAAAATTAATCGGAATTTTTTTAGCCCAAAGGCCCAAAAGAGCTATTAATTTCATTTTGGCATTTTGCGTTGAAACATTTAAATGTCGTTTCACTTTTCAAACTGTTGCCACCTAATATTACACTCCTGTATTATGCTTAAAGAAATTAATAATGAAGAATCTGCATAAATGTGTGCATATTTCTCCGCATTGTGATGAATCGACGGTACTTAGGGCCACCAAATTTTGAATAACGTTAGATCCCACCCGAAACGGGAAGCCCAAATTAGGAATTTGGAATTTGTTTTTATTATCTATTTCATATTTTGTAAAACCTGAACGAATTTTTGATCAACAAACTCAACGATTTCAAAGCGAACAATGGCAACACTGTACGAAAAAAAACATTTTATCTCCAGCCCGCGAGACTGTGTATCGGAAGTTCTAAAGAAATGCTCATTTTAAAATTATTTTGCGATATTGCTGTTGAACTGAATTTTGTGGCTTAAGCCCGAAGAGCATGATATTTATTAAATAAAGGTAACCTACAAAACGTTAAAAAACGCCCCTTTGGGCGTAATGTAAAATCTGAAATCTTTCAGATATATTTTTATTATTGTTAAGATTTGAAAGATTCAAAAACTAGATTCTTCGAATTTTTAGTTTAGGATTCAAGTGGCAGAAATTCGAGTATTTGAACCTGAAATTGCTTTTAAGATGCACGTAGTTAGAGGATACGCATGTCCTCTCCCTAATCCGAGATATTATTTATACACATCTGGAACAACTACTTATGTAATTTGAAATCAGAAAATTTCAGTGTTGAGTAAATTTTTTTAACTACGTATATAAGTATCCATGAATACATACATACCTTCCTCTCTTATTCTAAAGTTCGATTTTATTGAAGGAAACTTGCTTTCGCTACCTTATAATTTAACATGGCTGCTCTCCCAAAGATCCGAACACTGGAACTTCCTACCAGTTACATCACGAGAGTACGCAGTGGGGAAAAGAAAAAAAAAAGCTTTATATTCTGTTCTACATAAAGCGCGCGACTGAAGAGAGGAGAACAAGATAAAAAATTTATCTAAACCCTAGTCAGGATTTTAACTACGAATCGGTAACCGGATATGCTACCAATTACACTACGAGAAAGGGTACGGAAGGTAATAACTCTTTATAATCTCCTCCTCTTAGAGAGTTACTTAAGAGAAGTAGAAAACCCAGTCGACCGAATCCAGGTGGTGATATGCAAGAACAGAGAGCCTTGTTTAATATATCTGTAAACTTCCAAAATAAGTTTCCGAGCAAAACTTTTGTCATCGTTAATAATCGCAACTGCGATGAGATGGTATGCAAAAACAATCGATTTCTGGAATGCGTGCAAGGAGGCCATTGCTTGATTGCTGTAAATTTCCAAAATAAATTTTCGAAAACTTTTTTCTATATCCATATAAACTACCGACAGAATGGTTTGGTTTGGTTTATTAGATTACAGCAAAGCACTCGAGGGCTATCTGCCTTAAGGGAGGGATGCCTTCGTGGAGGACGTTTTAAGGGAAACTGGCTCGTATATACGTTACACACGGGGTAAACCACGAAAACACCCATGCAGCCAGCCCGTTCGCGGGATTCGAACCTCGGACCGAACTACCAGTGTTCAGCGACGTTACCGCTCGGCCGCTGGTGGGCCACCGACAGAATGAATGGGACACAAAATTGCTCCCTTTACGAGAGTATCTAGAAATATGGAGAATGTTGATGAACATGCCTGTAAATTTCCAAAATAGGTTTTCACCTTAAAGTTGTCCAACACATTTTAGTTCATCCGCCTCTGGAAAGAACATTAGATTTTTGGAGCAAGAAATGTGGGGTTTCGGAGCAACAACGCTGTCTCAGAGATTTGAACTGTGGATCTTCCAGTTGCTAGCAATAGGTACTACCACTTACACCACGAATGCAGGCACGGTTGAAGGCAATATTTTTAATAAACATATTAAAATAATTGGTGAACTTTCATTTTGGAAAAAGATTCCGTTCCCATGCTCCACCTAAAAAATAAATTATTAGTTCGAGAAAAGAGAGTAGAGTAGTTAGGTTATTTTGAAGCAGGATATGTGAAAAAATGTGCAATGCCCTCGACGAGATTCGAACCTGACCTGGACCTCTCAAATACGCGCCGAGTGTGCTACCGTTACACCTCGAAGTCATGCTGGAAGGAGGGAGAAAATATCCTATACATATTTTAGCCCCACACATGATGCTTGCTAAGAATATATATTATGATTCTAATTGCTGCAATTAATGATTCAAATAGTTTTATTTTGGCAACGTTTGAACTTCTGAGTTATGAACCGTTTCACCTCGAACTCCCAAAAAATAACCACTAAAGATTCTTACAAATAGCAGGAGATTTAAGAGCGCAATATACTGCCAACACTTTTTATTTTTCGGGCCGGTGGCGTTCCTTCAGCTTCTATTTCCTTTACAGCTAGTGGTTTTAAACCTGATCGAGAAAATAGCTGTCTTCCATTATTTTGATAGCTGCTGCCTTCTGCTTGAGGTTTCCTTCAATCAAATAGCTACTTTGTGCGTTTTATAAAAGGAGGAAAAGAATTGGATTTTGCACTTGTTCTTGGTTACTTTCGTCTTTTAGTTCTTTCGTTTGTTTTTTATTCATTTATTTCTAGCTTACTTTATGGCATTCATTTCCAAGTTGAAAATTCGATATTGTTTAAGTTCAATTTCTCTTTCTTTCGTTCCATATTTATTGCTATTATAGATCGGTAAGAAATTTTTTTATATCGTTACAACAACAGATGTTACGATCGCAATCAAAAGTTTTGGGAGTTTAATTTAAAACTAAACTATAATTACGCATTTGAAGAATACCTAATGACTCTAAATTATGTCGTCAAAATTCAGTCTTTAAAAGTAATGATTGTAATAAGCTTTTTCTACATCTGTTTATTTTTATTCTTATCTAATGATTCAGGATGAAAAAAAAAATCTTGATCGTGCTTAATAGCATTATTATAAAAAAGGTATTTAAAGAATTTTCCAAAGCCGGTAATTTTGTTTTAACTGAATAATAACTGCCTATCAGAGGTTTATTGGGAG